TCATTTTTTCACCAACCACGATACTTATTTCTCTGAATATGGTCTTAGTAACTTCCTAACATATAACGGAACTTTTTTGCATACCGTTATACAAATGAAAAGCTWATTCGGTGAAYTTATTTTCAGAAACGTAGTTTTGCTATGCAGTGGCTTAATTATGTGAGCACAAGTGTATATAATGCATGGGCAGCTAAGACGCATGGATTGTTTCGAATTTCACAAGTAATTTCTGTCACCAGAACCAAGCGACTTCATTTCTACTGGGTGCCAGGCCACAAAGGCACCGAAGGCAATGAGATAGTGGACGAAATTACCAAGACTGATGTACAACTGTCAGCCGAAAACGTAATCAAGTGATCAACATTAGAAATCTCACTCTTTGTCTACACAACGATCTGTACAGAAGAATGGCAAGGACAATCAAATTGCGATGGTTTGATCAACCTAGTTATAAAACTGTAAAAGTCATGTGTAAAACGGTAGAGCTGAAATATACAAAGTTTCTACTGGCACTCGACAGAAGAGACTGTAGGAATATAATTGAAAACCTCGCTGGTCACTGTCTGGTGGCACAACACGCCTGCAGTATCGGGCTGAAAGGTTGAGAAGATTGCAGGAAATGTCAAGAGCAAGTTACCAGGGACAATAGATAATCTTTTGAGCGCCTGTCCCGCATAGGCTCTTTGAATTTTGTCAGACAACAGAGTTCGTTGAAATTCGCGTCAAACGCAAACGGAAATCCATCTACTTACATATGTTATAAAGGCCCAAAACTGATCTAGAACTGGCTAATTAGCTTATGGGGTAAACCTAACCGAATCACACTTTTTATTCTCAACCCCAGCTCTCTCTCTCTTGCTCGCTCAAACCGTCAATATTAAAAGTATTTGGGACAGAGTTGAGATATAAATATTTAAAAGGCCTGAGCTTACAGCTGAAAGAGTAGACGATCTGCAGGGGAACTACTCGAAGAGATCCAAGTAATGATCCACCAAAATCACAATGGGCAAGATATGCAGTTAAAGAAAAGCAAATTTGGCCAAGGATATCTATATTGTGGAAGAAAGGCACTGTTCTGAGTAAAGATTTGGGTAGTAAAGCTTATATTTTATTAGATCTCAAACAATGTCGCAAAATATGGAATGGGAGTTGACCATATGCGATAAAACAGGCTTTGGGGGTGTGCACTACTGGATCGGATTTTGAAAATAAGTAAGGTACTCTTACTCGACCTGGATAGGGGTCAACTATAGTATAGGGCGGTCATACAAACTCAATTTTTTCTATGAAAAGCTTGTTCTCATGAAATTTGAAATTAACTGAGGGGGCCATTGAAAAGAAAAGTTCTCTTTTGATGAACATGAATGGATGAAAATACCACAGCTCGGAGAGTATTCGACGTAGTACCCGCCAGCGGAAGCATAGGAAGAGTAAGACCTTTACTCCGTTGGATAGACCAGGTGGAGGAGAACCTGGCTACGCTTGGAATCGCCAATTGACGCCAACCAACGAAAAGGAAGTACGACTGGTGCGCTATTGCAAACCCGGCTATAACCAAGTAAGCGGTGTCTTAATTTATAAAGAAGAGAATGTAAAGGCGTCAAGCCACGATACAATAATTGAGAACTAAGAGTTTATCTGCAAAATGCTTTCATCTACCATTTCAATCACACAAACTCAATCAAAATATTTGTACAAATTCAGTTGAGTGAAAAAAGTCAACAATAGCTGCTGCAGTGGAAGAAAAGCTATGTTAAACAACAACAATTCTCAACAATTGAAATAAGTAACAACAACACGAACTACTTTGTATACCAAGAAAAAGTAAAGCAATCGCCCGAGGAAACAAGAGGAAGGCGTCGCCGGCAAAAGGTGTGAACCAGCGACAATGAGTGCAAGAGTCAATGAAGAAGTTAAATGGGCACGCAATGACAAAACGTGTAAAGAAGTGCACATCCTCGAATGACAACGCGCACGGAATAAACAACAGCGGATAACACACACAGAAAATAAAAGTAAAACCCGTAGAAGACAGCAGTAAAACGGGGTTACGCCGCGAGCCTTGTATGCAGATGGATTTTTTCCGAAAAGAAATTTCGGTGAAATGCAAATGTGCAATGGGAAAATACATAATAAAAGAAAGCAGCGAAAAGAATGTGAAAGCATTAGCGAAATAACAGCAGCAAGTACAAAACGTCGCGCAGTACAGGCGCGCGGTGGAAGGCATTGACAAAGCGCCGCATTACGCACAACCAGCAACTCGAGTATGTAAGCGCATAAAAGGATTTTCCTCACGAATAGCTCCTATCATGTGTGTGTGTATATACATATATGTATGTAGGTATACAGTATAGGTGTGTGTGTTTGGCTGTGCGCCGCCAGGACACACTCGAAACAGCTGGCCATGTAAAAGATTAATGTCCGAAAAATGGTAATTTGTAAGCGCGGTGACAAGCTGCCAAAGGTAAGCTGGCAAGCGAACGCGCGGGTAAAGGGGTGCAGCGCGCTATGCGCTGACACAAGCGCTTAGCTATGCAAAAGTCGAAATTGAGTTGTAATCTCTGTGATCGTCCCACTTATGTTAATGGATATGTATGTGCGCGCTTGCGCAGTGACTTCCCAGAATGGCATGGCGCGCTTGTGCGTAATTGTCTGCGTGCGTGTGTGTGCGCGCACTTTCTTTTCTTGCATTTATGCTTAATTTATGGGCCAACGGCACTATCACACCTTTCTGCTTGACATTCGGGACGCATCCTTTCTTTGCGTTAGCCTTTTTTTCAGGAACCAACTACATTTGTGTGTGTGCGTGTACGTGTTTTCCTTCGTTGTTTTTTACTTGACTGCATTTTGTTGCAGCCATTCGAAAAATACAGACAATGCGACACGTTTGTTTTGTAAATATTGCGTTTGTTATTAATGATCCTGCACTTCAGTTTCCAATTCGTCGCAACCGATATTGAAAACTGTGTGCGCGTACTCGCTCTAACGTCCGAATCGCATTTGCATGCC